GAGAGAGAGAGAGAGAGAGAGAGAGAGAGAGAGATGAGAGATGAGACATGTAGTGCTGGCGACGGAATCGCAATAATTTTGTTTTTCACTTCACTTTGTTTGGAGACATAAAATGAGCCCAAATCGCACCTTCCCTTCTGATCGTATAAAAATAGACTCAAATAGAGTCACAATTTTTTTTGTTTAATTTTTTAGCCCTCGGATCTAATCTTTATTGGAGAGGAATATACACTAATACACGCGAAACACTAATATTATTTGATTTGTTGTCTCGACTCTATGTTTCGGTTGTCGTTATTTAATTAAAAATGTTTTGAGAATATTTTCGTGAAAATTGATAACTATTTAAAAATGTTTTGCAAAATGCTGGTACTTTCTAACCATGTTGCTTATTAGATAAGCATATTATGTGGTATATCATTACATTTTACTTACTTTTAGATTTATGTGCAAGATAAACTAAGGACAATTTTGATGAAATTTACCAAACTTAATACAATTTAATAATTTACTTTAGTAGCAAAACTGCCATGATTGGATTTATTGATAATATTTAAATCAATTACACGATAATTAGTGTCAATGTGTGAGAATTATCTAATATTATTATTATAAAGAGTAAGATTTATATTTAAGGAAATTATTATGCAAATATTTAATGAAGTAATCAATTGAGCAAGATAAAGCATTTATTAATATCCCTTGGCTAATTTTAATATTTGTCATGTTCTTTATCATTTTTCTAATGGAAATAATATAATTGACATAATTTATTGTCATATCTACAATACAACCACAATTTAATAATATAAACTTTACTATTTGGATTTAAACGCAATTTATAATAGAATGGATATTAACCGGGGATATATAAATGGATATTAAATACAAAAGTACCCACATGGTAATTATAATTTTCTGTGTTGTATACTTCAAAGGGTAAATGGGTGGACAGGTGACTAGCTCAATATCTAACTCACTATTTTTATATGTAAAATTGCATTTGAGTACTTTTTTAATTAAATGTTCAATAATATTAAATTTTTTATGATTACATGATTATATTAATACATTTGAACTCAAGTCTTTAGTAAACTATAAAAAATTACATCAAACTATATTAAACCGTTTCAATATTTATTTAAGAGAAAAAATAGTAATTTATTATTTTTAAAAATAGTATTTTATTATTTATATTAAATAAAAAGTATTCAAATTAGCAAAAAGGATATTTTTCGGGTTTATTATTATTTAACTTTAGTTAATTTAAATAGTTTGTATATTTAAAAATACAAATTACCTTACTTGTTTACTCGTTTGTTTTATAAAATAATGTATTTGTTATTAAAATTAAAGTTAATGCAATACTTATAGATATTAAGCAATAAATGCCAAATGAATCAAATTTACAAATTACTCTTCAAATTAATTAGAAATAATCGTAAACTCATTATAATTGGCTATCATTTAAAATGTTGTAAAAGATGTCTCGAAAGTCAAAGTCAGGAAAACATTACACCAAATCATTTATAATGTAATACATATATAAGAGTCCATATATTGTATAATAGATTGAATCGATTGACAATAAGATAAAATACTAATAATATTTTGAAGACAAGACATAATAGTTTAATTAATCACAAACTTTACATAACATAACCTAAATCTGAATTTCCAAACGAAAAAACAACAAGATTTAAATAATCTCTGAAAATCTTATTATTAATTGCTTTGCAACAGAAAATTATCAAATGATATGAGAAATCACAGGATTTATACAAACAAAAAAGTCTCAAATATGATTGATATGATTGATGTTCGCATCTCTTCTCTCGATTCAAACTTATTTATCTTCTGTTGATATTTGAAGAATACTTTGTTTTTTGTGGGCTTTACTCTCGAGACTCCAATCGAGTTTGTATTTGAAAACGTTTACTCCAGTGCTTACGGGGGGTATATATCGTGGGGAGTCATAGACGCATAACATGGGGTCAGATGGGCTACAATACAGGGGTCACGATCTCCTATGAAGCAGATTCACATCACATGCTCTCCTAATCCTCACTGACAGACAACCTGTAAATGCAATTCTTATGTAAAGACATGCAACCAATCAAACAAATCAAACACATCTCTCCTTCTGAGACATCGATTCTTAATCTTCGCTTAAATTTATGTTTCGTTTCGTTAAATCACTTATTATTATACGAATCGTCTCTTTATTGCCCACAAAAACATGATATTTGGCTCCCAAGCGAAACCATTCACATAACCATTACATCTATAGTAACAGTTAATATGGTTTTAATTTTCTTTCTAATGAAAACAAATTAAACTTAAATCCATTCTTCAATACTTCAAAGGATAAGCAAAAAACGAGTTGTTATCCAGAAAAGGATGATTTGTTGTTTCGGATATCTTTCATAAATATATTGAATATAAAGCCAATTAGATATGATGTATGTTATAATCGGTAATGTGTTAATAAAAATGTCAAAATACGGTATTTCGTAATAAAACATGACTTTTATTTGGAAAAGATATGTCACATAATAGTAATCTAACAAACATTTTCAGTTTTAATCTTTTAATTTAAAATTTATACTCTTTTTATCAGTTGACAAAATGAATGAATGATATATTATTTCAATAATAATAATAATTATTATTTTTCATTGATAAACAGTGCGTTTATTCATAATATTATTTTATATATGATATACATATCTAACAGTGAAGAGCATCTGTTTATTATCACTTTTAGTTACATATTATAACTTATAAGTAAAAAATGTAATCTTTGCCTAAATTTATGGACTTTTTTCTTTATATTATAGGATTATTGTGTGATTTTAGTTAACATTAGTTGAATACAAATCGCTGACCAAAACAACGGCACAATTAACGAAACGATAACTCCTCACGAGTTTATCAAATGACAGGAATTTTGCCTTAAAGTTCTTGTTTGCGGAACAGATGTCTATATTTTAGTGATATTATAGTGATATTTGTGGTCAAATATAAATATCTACACCAATAGACCCGTATATTAGAGTAGACCTAATTTGACAGATATATTGTGTTGGGATCCGTATCTGGAGAGCCATCGCATACAAAACCATCCATTTATTTACACAAACAGTGAGTGAGTGAGAGATGAATCAGCGCTCAGTTGTTAATCCAGTGATAATGCAATCCTACTTATGATTACTATTTTCTATTGTTATGACTGTTGTCTTGTGTTTGGAGAAGAACTCCAGAACTTATCGAATTTGGGAACAAATGACTGCTTTCAGAGATATTGTCATTTGTGGTGATCCTGAAGTCATTGCCATATACTGTAATCAATCAAAACAATACATATCATATCATACATTGATTATAACTATTTATCATGCATTCAAAATCACCAAATTCTAAATATTTATCATTTTTTGGTTTAAATTTAAGTAACAATTATTTATCAGAAAAGAGAATAGATTTAAATGGCTTTTATGGCATTAAAATGCATACAACTATTACTTTAACTCAAATCTATTATGTATTTGAAATGTGTGTCTAAATGTGAAAAACAACTTAAATTGAATTCAATTCTATTAGAAGCCAATCTAAATGGCTTCTCAAAGGGCGGGTATTATTTTCCCCGTAATCTATTTGTTGGCATTTCTATAATTAGGCTCAGTGTGCGAGAGATCGTCAAATGAGATACCAGTGCCTAACCAGTGGAGTCACTGTCACATCCAGTGCCCGAAACCCATTGCACGTCATGCCATGGCTGCTGTCATTAGACAAAAAAGGCTAAACTACGATTCGTATAATAATAAGTGATTTAACGAAACGAAACATAAATTTAAGCGAAGATTAAGAATCGATGTCTCAGAAGGAGAGAGAGAGAGAGAGAGAGAGCAGAATTGAGTTGAGTATCTCCTCCTACATATATCCTACATTCAATTGACTCGGAATTCATCGTTAATATTATTAGTGATATGAGAGACCATAACATTAGGAAAGTTTAGCCTTTTTTGTCTAATGACAGCAGCCATGGCATGACGTGCAATGGGTTTCGGGCACTGGATGTGACAGTGACTCCACTGGTTAGGCACTGGTATCTCATTTGACGATCTCTCGCATGCATTCAAGTAATTGCTTGACTACTACTGAATTTGTGGTGCAATAATCGCACGGAGAGACTGACTGTCCTTTTTTTGTTGTCGTCTATGCAATACAGAGTCTAATGATTATATTGAAAGCCCATGCGATGGTTGCTATGCTATCAGTTATTTGTTATAAATTATGCTTTTCGGACAAAACATATTATATATAACTGTGTGTTTGGCATGAAATTTATGAATTATTGTCATTCGCTTCACTCATATGTATCGGACATTTGTTTCTCATTTTTCCTCTCTGTATGACTGCTATAACTTGTCTTTGCCTTTATTACCGATACAAATGTTATATTGTTATGATATTTCCTAATGATAAGCACCACTACATAACATTTGTTTCATTAATGTTATTTTTGTCTATTATATGTGCATTTAATAAATTAGGCAACAATCCAAACAATCCAATCAAATGCTTTGCATTACTTTTTGTGGCAAAACGCCGATCGCAGGCCTAATATGAAGCCATTGTATAGAGTCTGAAGACTGTTTGCCTCTTGAGTGCTATACTTATCACTAAACAAATCTATTCCTCTAAATATCAATAATAACCACTTATTTGGACCCAAAGTTCATATACATTGAGTACAGAGTGTACTCTCATTGTAGTTATTATTACGTAAACAGATTATCACAGCTTTAGCTTATTATCTAAACATTTATAAGTCTTATTCAGTCATCAATTGATTGCAATTGATTTATACAACAAATAAAAATTAACTTTACATTACATAATGTTGTATTTTATTTCATATATACACTCGTTATATAGAGTTGAAAATAATGTATTTTACAAACATTTTGTCTGATTTTGTTTAAGTTGAATGAGAATTACAACATTAATCTGATATTTGAATCGCAAAGTCATTCAAATTGTGTGTTTTGTAAATGCATTTATCATTCATTGATCAAAATTATAACTCAAAACCTGAATGAAAACACTGTATATCTGATAGTTGTGCCAAAAACAAGATCTTTATATTTGTTTTTAAAATTAACTTAAATTTAACATAAAATTTATTTTATAGATTAGATAATTAAACAGAATATTAATAATGTATTATTGCTGTCATTCATTCATACGGAGAATCCATAGAAAAATGTTTAAAACTAATTTCACTAATTCTTGTTTTACTTGTATTATATTTTACAAAAATAACTTAAAATGTCATTAATTTTACTTTAATTAATAACTTCGACACATATTTGCAAATAATCTAAAAGGTTTGCAATAAATTTAAAGACCATTTATTTAAATAAATAATTGAATGTAAAGACACGTGAATTTTTCATTAAACACACCAATGAATCAATTGCTTATTTGAATTGCATTTAAATGCCAAATATATTATGCAATTAATATAGTAATACATTGATCTTCTCTCTCTCTCTCTCTCTCTCTCCTCTTACTATACATTTATTTATTCAAGATTTGTTAGTTTTTATTACAACTGCGCGGAGTTTAGCGTAGATTTCGTATAAGATTTGATTTTTAAAATGGGTTTTTTTTAATTCAAAGTATTTATTGCTTCCGTGTATTAGCGAAGAAGAAGAAAAAGTTTTGTATAAATGGATAGAGTTTTTGGTTCGAAGCATAAAAAGAGTAACAAAAGTAAGTCTGAGGACACGTTTAAGTGAGAAAAACAAAAATCAGATCAACTGATGATAAATGAATGAAAATGGGTTTCAAATGAATCAATTGAATGAACAAAAAAGTGTTTACTTTGAGAGGAATGAGTTGGCGGTGAAGTATTGCCGTTCCGTCCGATTTGGTCTCCTCTGATGCCAAGAGTGATTAATTTGGCTGATTCTACACAATTCACCTGCTCTTGGGCTCCCATCACCGCTGCCTGAGCCGCATGTGCTGCCAATGCACCACCACTTTCAGAGCCAAATAATTGCATCGATGCCAATTTAAGTGCAGGCGGTGTCTGCGGTGGTGTGTCTGCCTATGTATTCAATTGTATGCATCCAATTAATAGCTTCTCCCTTTTTCTCCATTACAAACAGCTTTTTATATATTGTATGCATTGAAAAAACTAATCAAAATAATTTGTTTCTTAGCTTTTCAATTAAATTTATGTGAATATATTGTAAATAAAATTAAAACTTTTTTTGTAGTTTTTATTTACAACGAAAGATGTGTTGATTTTCATGAAATAACTCTTAATTAAGACCTAAATGACTGGTAACTGGAATATTGAACCTCAATATGTAATGTTTAGTATACTGTACTGTATATACGGTTATCATCTAATCATTTGTAACTTAATATTTGTTTTAATTTCAAACTTCTTTTGCTATCGATTTCTTATTAATTAATAAAAGAGCGACTATTTATCAAAACATTAGGATTAACTCAAAATATTGAATGCATTCACCGATCATTAATTCTCCGCAAAACTAGATTTTCAAATAAATATATAATAGTTATATGTTTCTGATTCTTAACGTATTATGCGATCGTATAATTGATTTTCAACATACGAACCAATAAATTAAAAATTTTAATTACAAAACCATAAAAATTAGTTTCAAAGATCAATAACATTGATAAATGTTTTACTAATTCTTTCAGCACTAAGTCTTTAGTCCTTAATGTTCACACAATACACATATTTAAGGGGAAAATATTTATTTCAAACCTAATCAGTCGAGTGACACGAAAAATTTAATAATTGATTAGTTTTGCACAAAAAAACACTTATATTTTGCAGACAATTAAGTATTAATTTTTTGTGACATATATTTATTTCAGAAGAATTTAAATTCTTTTGTTTTTATTGAATAACTTGTAAATGATTTGTAAAACTAATCCATATTATAATATGACATATAAATAGTTATTGATATAGTATTAAAATGTTGTAAGGATTATATGACAAACCTGTGGAGGTAGTGATGTGGCTGAAGACGGGTGTGTGAAGTGTCGGCCGAGTGCTGGCATATAATGGGTTGCGTACGGATTGACTGCTGAGTACGGGTTGTGAGTGTGTGTCGGATGACACCAACCGCTCATATTTGGTGGCATTGGCGGTGATAATGGGTTAGAATGCATATTAGGGGCCGACAGGTGTAGGGGTGGCCCGAGATTCATATTGGGGTTGAGATTATGGTTGATATGAGATAATGGACTCTTTGGTTTGTCTTCTGTTGCTGTTTCAGCCAATGACCAGATTTTGGGTTTCGATGCATTGTTTATTGGATTGCATTTATCCTGAGTTTGTTTCA